ACAGCTATGATTATAACAACAACTACTTCTATTGCAACTACGATCATAACTACTACTACTACTACTACTGCAACTACAATTATAACACCTACTACTACTACTGCAATTATAACAACTACTACTACTAATACTACTACTGCAAATGTGATTATAACTACTACTACAACTACTACAACTACCATTATAACAACTACTATTATTACAACTGCTATTACCACTATTACAACTACTACTACTACTACTTATTATTACAACAACTACTACTATTACTACAACTACTACTACTCTTACTACTACTACTATTACAACAACTACTACTACTACTTCTGCTACTTCTATTTTTCCGGTGAAGCGTCTGTCTCTTGCTTGTTTCCATGGAGACTTCATTGTTTTGCAGGAATGTTCCACAGTGTGACATTAAACTTATCACTCTCAATGAATAATCTGCGTTTGCCAGAGAGATGTTTAATGCCGTGCCGTGGAACATTCCAGAGCCCAATAACATCTCCATGGAGACGGGCGATGCTGCTGCTGCTGCTGCTGCTGCTTCTGTGACTTCTGCTTCTTTTCCACTTGTGAGTTTGACCCCAGTTTCTCACGAATTCCCTTCAGACGACGCAGAACCGGGAAACACTTAAACTTTACAAGAAGGTGGTCCAGGAAAAACCTCCAGCATTACTCTGCACAAACCACCTTAAAGGTTAACGTCCGTACGACAGCTTTCATGTCGCTCCCCTCGCTCTGACTGGGTTTGGTGGATCGGACTAAATATTTATCGTAGTTTTACATCAGATAAAAAAAAAAAAAAATACAAAAATGAGAAGGAAAAAATACAAAAATACCGGAATACCCCCTGCCCATGTCAGCAAGACGGAAAACTCCACCCAAAATGCACTGACGATTTACACACAAGGAAGGACTTTTTCTGACAGTTTAAACCTTAATTTAACTAAATCCGTGTGTCATTCGTTCATTCGTTTTTCAAAATAAAACCAAAAATAAGAAAAAAAAAAAAAACAGCTATTTTCTTCATTATTAGTCTCAAAAAACAAAATTTCCTGCTCTAACGACCGTTTCCCGTTTCCGTGACTTAAACTATGTCAGAACTGAACCAGGACTAAAACAGGACTGAACCAGGTCCAGGACCAGACCGGAACCAGACCGGAACTGAGACCAGGACTTAGACCAGGACCAGACCAGGACCAGGACTGAGACTGGGACCAGACCGGGAGCAGGACCAGGACTGAGACCGGGACTGAGGCCGGGACCAGCCCAGGACCAGATTGTGATTGAGACTGGGACTGAGACCGGGACCAGATCGGGACCAGACCGGGACTGAAGACGATTTAGTCCTGGTTTAGTTCTCATTCAGTCCTGGTTCAGTCTGGCATCGCAGTTTAAATCACGGAAGCGGGAAATGGTCGTTATCCGTTTTTTTCCATTATTTAAACACAAAATAAAAATAAAATTAAAAAAAAAAGAAAAAAAATCATTATAGATTTTTTCATTTTGGTTGTGGAGACAAATAATGAAGAAAATAGTTGTTTTTTTCATTTTCTTATTTTTGGTTTTATATTGAAAAATGAATGATACACGGATTTAACTAAATAAAAGTGTCTTTTATTTGTCTCATTATTATAATTATTGTGTAATTCAGACTAGGTTTAGCCCTTGTTGACACCAACTGTGAGCCCTCTCTCTTTAACTTCTGGAGTGAGTTTTAAAATGTTCGTATTAACCCACTCTACATGATCCTGGTGTTTTTATTTCACTATTTTGTCCATGAATAAATTCCTTTTCCTAATATGAAACTCTGCTCCAAATTTGCTCATATAACTGCCAGCCTCAGTGAGCTTCGTTTGACTGGAGCTGAACGCTGTGGGTGACGTCAGACTCCCTTAATCCACTTCTTTATAGACAGATTATTTATCTGTTTATTTATTACACAACTATAATAAAATGTGGAAGATGAATCCAAAATGGCGCCGTGTTGTTGTCAGTGGTCTGTGCTCATCGGCGCATGGGCCCAAAAATAATTTTCACTTCTGCACTTACTTCCTCAATCCAGGCGAGCTCCTCCCACCTGTGTGACGTGTGTAACCTGCACAGCGTGGAGCGTTTGGACCAATCAGAGTGAGAGCTGCTAGAGCGGAGTGAGTGCGGCTCACAGCAGTGAGGCTCAGTCTGACAAAGATCACTTTTAATTAATTAATCATTGCATTTATATTACGCCTTTCAAGATACTCAGAGCACTTTACAGGTCATTATTCATTCAACACTGCTACTGTAGCCACAGCTGTCCTGGGGCAGACTGACGGAAGCAAGGCTTCCAATCTGCGCCATCGGGCCCTCCGACCACCACCAACGCTCACACACACCACTTTCATTCCAGGCAATGTGGGTGAAGTGTCTTGCCTAAGGACACAACAACAGTTTTTGCCACTGTGACTCCTGATTTTCCCAGTGTCCAAGTCCTGACCAGGCCCGGCCCTGCTGAACTTCTGAGATCTGACGGGATCAGGCTTTGACAAACTAGAATACAAACTTTTAGGAACATTGAGGATTTAAAAATTTAAAAAAGTTTATGTTGTCGAAAATAGAAAAGAATCCTTACAAAATCTGACCTTTGTGAAAGCTGGATGTTCTGTCAGCAAAATACGAGCAGTTTGAATTCCCCAAAAATGCATTGTGTTTCTATGGTAGAATTCTTTCTGGGCCCAAATTCCCGAGAGCTGCAGTACCTGGAGCGGCCACTAGTCGGTCTCGAGCCGGGACAGAGGCGGACTGCCTTATAGATCCATGGGTTAACATGAAGTTGCAGCGTTAGATAGTGCTGGTGTCAGCTTTAAAACCATTTCAGTAACTAAATTAAGTCGCTATTATTAGTTATTAGTGAGTGTGACATTAATGACGTGTATGAGTTAAATGCAGGTGAGTGCGTAAATGACGACAAGAAACGTCTCAAACTTCAGTAGCCGCACATCCACTCGGAGAGTCTGAAATCTGCTGAAATCCTACAAGACACTGACATGATACAGACAGAACAGCGGCTCTTTCTGCAGGAGACATGCGCAGTAGAGCGAGAAGTGACGTAGTCTGATAATAGATCTTTTTCACAACGGCCGGAAGTGTCGTGATGTCGGGTAAACGCTTTTCTATGGCAAAATATCTGTGTAAATGTTTGGCAGATTCTCCACCAGCTTCATAAATTTACCCAACCACAAATCTTCATCCAACAAGGTCCACAAAAGATAAACATTCTAGCATGAAGAATTTATCCACAACTATCAAGGGAAGAAAGACGAAAACAGAACGGAAAACAACGATGATGCATTAGTGAACTACTGAACAAAACTAACATTATGGTCATTCATGAATAAAACATAAGAAATAAATCATTCGTTAATAAGTAACTTGTTCACTCAGACTTATTCTACAATTAAAATAAAAAATCGATTTGATGACGTCGAACGTTACAGATGTTCACAAATCACATGTCGAGCATTTAAACTGGACAAATCTCTCAAAAGATTTCATCAAGAGATCTGCCCCTTGTCCAGTCAGAAAGTGGAATTATAAACTTGGAAAATGTTTTACTAAAATCTGAAATACAATGATGTTAAAGGTTGTATAGAGGATTTTCCAAGGAACGAGAAATCCAGCGACTGTTTGTCCTTTTTCAAATGTTGCGCATGCGTGAAACCACCCCCCCTCCCCTACAGCTCCTACGTAGAAACACCTCCTCCCTCCTCCTCCTTACACCAGAAACAGGTTTGTTTACAGCCGGTGAGCTGCACATGACTTGTAAACAACTAACTACAGTGTTGGTTAGGCAAGACGGAGAAGTGAGGAGCGGGGGAGGGGTGCGCGACATTTCGTGCCCGAGAAGTGAGGAGCAGGAAGAAGAGCGGATCGGGCAGCGGGGAGAGGAGCAGGAAAGGGGTGCAGAGAAGGTTGCGCGGAGATTCAGTGCGAATGAACTAGCTACAACACGCAGCAGCAAGCGGACTCTTTCTTTGCCTTGAAAAATTACGTTTTCAGACATAGGATATCGCTTTCGTGTCCTGAAAAAACGTTTGTGTTGCTCTTGGAAATAAAGTACGTTTTCATAATAAGCAGAAGTTTCCTGTCCAGGAGTAATTTGGCGTGGTTCAGTCTTTAGACCCTGCGTCTGCTTCAGTCGCGCCATCGCTGGAATGAATCTTCAAGAATCACCTTAGTTTGGCTCAGCGAAAAACTTGCTTTCTCTGGATTGCGTCCTGCGTCTTGTGCGCCATGTTTACAGCGTCTGTGCGTCTGCAGTGTCAGTCAGTCCACGTACCAGTCCGAAACGTCAGGCAGAGCACAGGGAGTGTCAGAGTCAGTGAGTGAATCGATATTGTCTTATCTGGCGTTTTAAAGCTTCAGTTTCACCCTGGACGTGTTTCTTCAAAGTTGCGGGAGAGCTGTGGGTCCGCAGATTATCCCGACAGCGAAAGAAGATCCATCTGAAGTTTGGGAGGAAATTAAACTGCTGAGAAGAAACCTTGATCTACGCGGGCTGAAAATGACCGAGCGAAATGTGAGACGCTCGAAGTTAAAATCCTTACGACAGCTTAGACTCAAATATAGTTAACGTCATTATGTTTAAGATTTTTACGAAAATTCTTCTAGATTTTCTGCCGTTTTGTTGCATTTTGTTGATGAAGAAATAAATCACAGCGCATTTATTTAGTGAAATGAAGGTTTAAAGTGTCGGAATGGATGAAGTTTTCCATGCTGATGACATAAATAAAGGGATTCTGTGTAAAAAATGAATCCTACTTTCTGAATTTTTGTCCTTTTCTTCTCAACAACAAAAAATTATCCACCAAACCAGGTCAGAAAAACACGAAAACCTGTCATATGAACTTTACTACTACTCGTAATTACTACTACTGCTTTGTTCTTACCTTAACAGTCCAAGGTTCATCGTACAGTGGTGTCAGTGGTGCTTATAATGTTCCGTGTTGTTTCTTTAGTTTGGAGGCGAAGCTGAGGAACAGAACGAGCAGACCTGAAGATCTCCACGCGATCGAAGAACTCAGAGAAACGGTGACGAAGAGAGAAGCGCTGAAGAATGGAAGGTGCGTTCTGAGCAAAAACTAATGTTATGGTCATGAAAAAATCATAAATTAGACTGATTCTACAATTAAAATTAAAAATCTATTTCATGAGATCGAGGGAAGTTGTAGTAAAAACAATAGAAGAGAGAAGAACAGACTGTTAATGTCACATATGAACAGTTCTTCAGATAAACTATAACATAAACTAGTGCTGTCATGCGATTAAACAAATTGAGAGATTAATTAATTATGATCTGTAATTAATTAATCTAATTAATCTCATTTTAATCTCACCTAAAAATTGCTGAGAAAAGCCTTCAATTTGAGGTATTTTCATTTAAATTCATTATTACATTATTGTGGCAGATCAAAAGACTGATATAGATTAAAAAAAGTGACTTTATAAAGTCATTTATTGTTTAACAAATCTCTCAAATTGGCTGTTGAGCCCAAGTCTCCATGAATAAGAAACTGTTTGCTGTAAAGTAGCAAAGACGAGGAAATCTGAACATAATAACTTTTGTCTACTTAAAGACAATAAAAAGTCCAGTCTTTCCTTAACCATATTAAAAAATTATTGATAGAGAAATGCTTTATATATGAGATCACTGGTTTTAGTCCTGGTTTTAGTCTTGGTTTAGACCTGCTTTAGTCCTACTTTAGTCCTAGTTTAGTCCTGGAATGGAATTAATCCTGGTTTTAGTCCTGGTGTTCTGTTTAGTTCTGGTTTAGTCCTGGTTTACCTGGGTTAGTCCTAGTTTTAGTCTTGGTGTTAGTCCTGGTTTAGAGGCCACAGGAGGAAGTGCGGTTTACGCAGCGAACGGAGAAAACACGATCCACACGTGGCTCACGGGAGCACGTCAGTGTCCACGCAGTAACTACGGAAGGAAACGTGGTCCGCGCGTTCTCAGGTTAATGACGATGATGAAGGTGTGTGTTTGTGTTTGTGTGTGTTTGTGTGTGTGTTTGTGTGTGTGTGTTTGTGTTTGTGTTTGTGTGTGCGTGTCCCCTCATGTGGCAGGTCACTATAGGACAGTAGTGCAGACATCATGAGTCTATGCAGGTTGTTTTCACCAGTGACATTTAAGTTGTAGGCGATATTATATTTGTTATTTTCTTTTATATTTTCACGTCGGGGAAAAATAATTTCCAAGACACGAATGTGTTTTTACCTGTGCACTGCTGCTCTGTTCTACTGGCTCTTCGACCTCGTCCGTGCCGAACGTGAACATGACGTTTACATCGCTGTTACTGCGCGCGTTTTGTGTGGGTTCCCGGCAATGAGTGGAATTACCGAAATAAAAAAATGTATAAATGTGTTTTTTTTTTGTTGTGTGTGTGTGTTGTTGTCCCAACAACACACATTTTAAAACAGGTTTTATAATAAAGCAACTCGCATACAGAAACACTAAAGTTAGAGATTAAAAATGAGATTAACGCGATTAAAAAACATAACGCGCTAAATATGACTGTAATTAATTAATCGCGATTAACGCGATAATTTGACACCCCTAATAAATCCATTTAATTTTTCATCCTCTGTGTCACTTCTGAGGAACTCGGCCTCGACCTCGATCGTCGTCAGACTCAGCATCAGTTCCAGTTAGAATTATTCTGGTCTTTCTGAATCTCGACAGGATGGTTTCGGTGTCGCTGAAGTCCAGACTTTGTCCATCCATCCAGCGACTTCAGGAAAATTTCAAGGTGCATCCTCCCGGTGTCACAAGTTTCTCTCTCACTTCAAACTTTCTTTCTGCTGCTCGATTATCGTTTTCAGCGACTTCCAGTTTGTGATCTGCAGAATCTGATTTAGTTTTTGGGGGCGTTTGTGTTCAGTCTTCTCAGTCTTTGTCTTTATAAGTTTGTTTAAATGTTTGATTTTTAGTAACGGTGCGATCGACTGACATGACACAGACAGGACAGAGGCTCTTTCTGCAGGAGACATGCGCAGTAGAGCCAAGTGACAGTGGTGCAGGAGGAACAGGAGCAGCAGATACTCACACACAAGACTAGAGCGCCCCCTGTCTGTCTGTGTGAACATTTTAATAATATAAGTCGCAGAAAACACCCAAACCATGAAAAAAAATGCCACTTATAGTCCAAAAAATACGGTAATTTTAACATCTCCAGCATTTGAACTACAAATCTATCTATGCAAACTTAATTTTAATTCACGACCATATGTTCAGAAGTTCACTAATACGTCGTCGTTGTTCTTCTTTAAGTTTTCGTCTTTCTTACCTTGATAGTTGTGGATAAATTCTTCATGGTTCTTCATGTTTATTCTTTGTGGACCTTGTTGGTTGAAGATTTGGTGATGGGGCAGATTTATGAAGCTGTTGGAAAATACATTTACACACACATTTTGACACGGAAAATGTTTTACAAACCCACAGCAGTGAAAAAGGTCGATACTCGCGGATTGGACAGCGCATTTCACGTAAACATGGTCAAAATTGGTTATAATTTGACTTCGTGGTTGGACACAGGCAGCAGATGTGACATGATTAGACGGATATAAACAAATTACAACAGCTTTATTTTGTTAAATGAAGGTTTAAACTGTCAGAAAAAGTGTTAAATTGCCAAGTTTTCCGTTGATTACATAAAGAAAAGAGGGATTTTGCTTTTGAATGCAGCTCTTCTTTCTTTATTTTTGTGCTTCTCCAGCTTCTGCCCATGGAGCTGTTGCCCGAAATGTTCCACAGTATGAGTATGACATCGCATTTATTTATCTCCACGGAGACAGTGGGTTTATAGGCCCAAGTTACGTGTCAGATCTGTGGAGAGGCGAGCCCAACTCACAGTAAGAAGGCAGGTTTTGGAGTCAACAAAAACCCACGTTATTGAGTAAATACAAGACGGGACATTCCAGACAGAGCAACAGCATCTCCATGGCGACAATAAGATGGCGGACGCTCCACTAGAAAAGTTACACAATGCACTTTTAACTGATTTAAAACTGTGAACAGCTATGCTTTATGTTTACACCCTGTAACTTTTTTGTTAGGGGTCCGTCACCTGCTTGTTTCTACGGATACGTCATAATGTTCCACAGTGTGACTTTAAACAGATCGACCTTACATTTGATCAATTACAGGTGGTCAGTGTTGGGAAAGTGACTTTTAAAATGTAATCCCCTACAGATTACAGATTACACACCCGAAAATGTAGTTTGTAACGTAATCCATTCAATTACTTAAAGTGAGTAACGTAATTTGAATATTTTGGATTACTAACCTGGTTTAGACCTGGTTTAGACCTGGTTTAGATCTAGTTTAGTCCTGCTTTTAGACCTGGTTTAGTCCTGGTTTAGTCCTGGTTCAGTCCTGATTTAGACCTAGTTTAGTCCTGGTTTAGTCGTGGCTTTAGACCTGGTTTAGACCTGGTTTAGATCTAGTTTAGATCTAGTTTAGTCCTGCTTTTAGACCTGGTTTAGACCTGCATTTAGTCTTGTTTTAGTCCTGTTTTAGACCTGGTTTAGACCTGGTTTAGATCTAGTTTAGATCTAGTTTAGTACTGCTTTTAGACCTGGTTTAGTCCTGGTTTAGTCCTAGTTTAGTCCTGATTTAGTCCTGGTTTAGTCCTGATTTAGTCCTAGTTTAGTCCTGATTTAGTCCTGATTTAGTCCTAGTTTAGTCCTGGTTTAGTCGTGGCTTTAGACCTGGTTTAGACCTGGTTTAGACCTGCATTTAGTCCTGTTTTAGTCCTGTTTTAGTTTTAGACCTGGTTTAGACCTGGTTTAGATCTAGTTTAGACCTGCTTTTAGTCCTGTTTTAGTCCTGTTTTAGTCCTGTTTAGACCTGTTTTAGTCCTGGTTTAGACCTGGTTGAGATCGAGTTTAGACTTGGTTTAGTTTCCGGGAATGAGTGGAATTACCGGGAAAAAAAAAAAAAAAAAAAAGGGGATATAGCCTAAAATGTGAAAACAGGAAAATACCACAGTGTAATCCATTTATTTCAACAAAGTAACTGTAATCCAATTACCACTCACTGAAACAGTAACTGTAACTGAATACAGTTACTCATCATTTGTACTCTGATTACATAACTCCGGTACATGTAATCTGTTACTCCCCAACACTGCAGGTGGTTTTATCGCTCAAAAACACCTAGAAAAACAAAGACATTCTGACTGTGAGCGGGGTCGCCTCTCCGCAGATCTGACCTGTAACTCGATCTGGTTTGGTCTCCAAGACAGAAAGAAAGAAAGATAGAAAGGTTTAATGCCATACTGTGGAACATTCCAGCAATAACATCCCCAGAGAAAAGCACCTTTGAGTTTCATTTCACTAAAATATCTTTACGTTTTATAAAATTTGACAAAAACTCAGCGCTTCTTTTCAAATTTTTTTTCCCTCAAAACGTCACTTAACTGATGTAAAACTCTGATAAATATTGACCACAGGAAATATCCACCAAACCGAGTCAGAATTTGAAAAACGTAAACAGAACATAAACCTTGACACTCAAATTAAAGCAGCATTATGGAGCATTTTCATCCCTGCCCACAGAGGTGTAAGTGATTGACGCCAAGCAGATTTGTTAAAACATTTAGTGATTTTTGTGAACCTACAAAAGTCGAGTTTTTGCAGTAAAAGTCCCAGATGTTTTTTATGGACAGGACACACTCTGTTCACCGGGTCACAGGGAGGGACACATTACGTAAATGACAAAAAAAAAGTATACATTCTTAACATTTTGTCTTTGTTTCACTGCGTTTAAAAGTGCTGATGTGTGACTTTTCTGGATAGGGTTTGTCGCCATGGAGATGTTGTTGCTTTGTCTGAAATGTCCCACAGTATGGCATTAAACCGACCGCTTTCTTAGACTTCAATCTGAGCCAGAAATAACTTTTGGATTTGGTCGGAACTACAAATATTCTTAAATCACAAGGAAGCTGTCATTACCCGACAGTTTCTCAGTTAGTCTCGACTTGGAGATGAAGAAAACTGAGACATTTTCAAATTTTTCCGAGATTTTGTCAGACCGTGAACAGAGCCCGTCGGAAGTTTTCAGTAG